ACGTTATGTATCCAATACTGGAATATATTCGCTCAGTTTTTAGGGATTTCATAGAAAAGCGGACGTTGACGAAATATACCAACAAAAATAGACAGTGGAAATACATACTCCATAAACAATGAATATTAACAACTTCAGATTATTTGTGTGCCTAGGTATTTGCAAAACTAAAAACACCAGTAGATTTTTTTATAAATAAAGGAATGGAGGAGTGGTGTGTTTCCCCTTACTTTTTTTAATTATTAAATAAAAGTCGATAAACACAATCAAATGGTGAGTCAATGCCAAACAGCTCTCTAGTGGCGTGCAAATTTATACCCTAGCTCAATAAAGCGAAGAGTAGGGGGTTTAGAGCGCCAGTGACTTTAGACGGATTAAGCTACAAATCCCCGTGATATTAGTCGGAACTTGTTTTGCCTGACCGCCCATACAAAAGAAAATTATCTAATAGCAATGAAGCTTCTCCGGATCGCCACCAGTGCACCATCCTACGTAAGAAACTCAACCTTGCGTAGAGACCTGCATTGGGACACCATTCACGAGTACATGAGGAAAAAAGCGGAGAAGACCTTCCAGAAAGCTCAGGACCACCCGAACGAGCAGCTCCGATTCCTCATGGACTACGATCCGGACGAGAGGCCTCGCAACAGCAGAACCAGGTGCCCTAGACCAAGGTCCCAGTTGGCACCCGCTAACTGGAACCTTGACTAGGAGACTAGGAGAACCCGCGGTTGCTCCCCCCCCCACGGCGTGAATGCAGAGGACCAGGAACCACCGGGACCAGGACCAGGACCAACCAGGACCAGGACCCGCCACGACCAGGACCCACCAGGACCAGGACCCTTCAGGACCAGGACCAGGACCAGGAACAATATATAGGTAAGAGGAAACTCTTGATTTTTCGAAAACAAGAGTTTCAAGAGAACCTAGCAGACCCTCTATCGATGATCGCTTAACGACATCGATAGAATGTGCGAGGTAAAGGGAACCAACTCGGCGTTCCCAGAGATTGAAACACATGAGGAGACGTTGTAGCAGACCGCCGGTCACGCACAACACATGGCCTACCGAGCGTATCTCATTTTTTTTAATTCGTTTTAAATATTTTCACGAGATTTGAGTTGTTGCTGACAAAAAGGTATTATTGCTACATAAATGACTTTGTAGGTATATCTGTCCATGTTCACAAGCTTTTAAAAAATGAGCAACGGTTAACCCATTTTTCATTTTATGTGCTAAAAATTTCCAAAAAAAGAACATTCGTCATTTTGTGAAATTGAATAGTCGTAATTCATAGAATAAAGATTTAGTTGCGTCCGTGTTATATTAAAGTGATGAAAAATGCTTACAAAAAGGAGAACAGTGAATATTATGGCGAAATAAGTATAAAACTTGAATATGGCAGCACAAACAAAATACTCACTTAAATAATAACGATATAATAATATCTGTTAAAGATGAACAAAATAATAATTAGTATTTTATCTAGCAATATTTGAATCGAATTTTGGTACACTTGTAAACGAACTACCGGTATATTTCCTTCACACAGCGACTTCAAATCCATGTATTTTTTTCGTAGTAATTTTTCTTGGCTCTGCACTCAGAACTTCGAGAGGAACATCTTTTAACTTAAGTTTTTATCTTTTTAATCTATAAAAGCTGTATTCATGCTGAAGGTGAAGTGAAAAAGATAGATACGTCACAGTGCGTGTAGTGTTAAATTTGAAACTACAATTTTACAAGCTTTCGTATATATAAGCCAAGCGCTGTAAAATTATTTTTATATTTTATAGTTTCACAAATTGGCGTAACTTGAGCTAAGCTCCCTTGTGAAATTTAGTTTCCTATTAAAATGAGATAAGCCTAATATTATCTTTATATAATTCTGAAGGTATTAGAAACAGACTTATGCCACTTCGTGATATTAAAGAGCAACGTTTTTTAAGTAATAAGATCGACTTAACTCAATTTTTGTATTTTATGATATACGCCACTTCGTGTTATTGGCGACGGTACGTTCCACCACTGGAGTTAAAAAGAAAGATATTATTCAACACTGCCGCACAATAATATTATTACGCCCTGAAAATTAACCCTGCAAAACGTTTACCATGGTATACGAATGAAGATGACCTCAGCTCAGGCTTTTTGATTAAAATCAGTGGCCAGCAGTGGACAGTGTAAGGAACTTCACAAGGTAGGGGCTGCTTGCCCCGTATTCAAAATTTACCGTGACAAAAACCTTGTTTACATCAGTTTTTTCTCAAGAAAAATGGGTGGTTCCCAGCAAAATCGGCTACAACCGGCTACAAAACAGCTACAAGGAAGGAGTACGGATGGTGGTTTTCCTCAATGCCTTCCCATGGTGAAGAGGCTAATATCCCACAAAAATGGAGAGCGTAGCACCCAAACAACAACCAAAATTAACAACTAAGGGCCGTATCGTCAGTCGTTCCTAAAATAATAGGCTATTGTGGTGATCCTATTAGATAATAGAATAAGAAAACACATAGTACTTTAATGTACACCTAAATATGTATATTTTTTGGGAAATAATCAAATAAAAATCAGCTATTTTTAAAAATTCGATGGGTCACAGAAACGCCCTGCGATTGGCTGCGACTCTGGTGACGTCACATGCAAGTAAACAAACATCGCGTTGTACGTTTTTGCTGGCTTTCTGTGAGATATTCTATCATAATTCTATTTCGTAAACAGATTTTTATTACTTTCTTGATCTTTTCTTTCAACTATTGGCTATTATTCGTTGTGGACTTCAAAATGGACCTAAATTTTGTGCAAGCTGATAACAGCAATCTACCTAAGGTTGACGCATTAATGGTAGGATTTTTCTTCAAAAATAATGCGGACTACTATGCTGCGGAACTCAAACATGTGAAAACAACAATGTAAGTAGTAATATTATTTATACCTACTAACCTTTATGTATGATCATTAAAAGATTTGTAAAATCAATCTTATTTTAGGTTATGTTGATGTAATGAAAAAAGCTTTCAGTTCAATATGATAATATGGTTCATATATGGTTTCATGAATAAAACATACTTTCATGTTTTGCTTTTGTTTTACAGGTCTGGAAGGGAGTCCTACGGAGACGATGCAATTGGCCATGTGCAGCTGCACCCGGAGCATGGACTTTGCACACTTAAGTCCAAAATGTGCCCAGAGAACAAAGTGAGATCAAAAGCTTATAATGTGACAATGGTTATCAACGAAATTGAAAGCGAGATAATAAGTTGTCAGTGCCATGACTGTGCTGCTTCAGCAGGAGGCTGCAAGCATGCGGTCGCTTTTTTGATGTGGGTACATCGGCGCAGTGAGGAACCTCCATCTACTTCGGTGGAATGTTATTGGAAAAAGCCAACATTGTCAAGAGTAGGGACTACGCTGAAGTACATCACGGTGCAGCAGATGTCGAAAAAGGAAGTACCGCACAGACCAAGTACATCAGCACTTTACACAGACTTTATTTTGGAAGCCAAAAAAAGAAAACTTCAACACTGTGAATTGATAAAATATCAGGACGATTTTAAACACTCTAATGTTATGCGGTATTCGCTGCACTGTTTCATAATGGACCAACCACCAAAAATTCAAGCAGACGTAGACAATCTTGTAGACATAATGAAGACAACATTCAACAGAGCTGCTATCAGTGCAATTGAAGAAGCAACAAGAATGCAGTACAAGAGCAGCTTGTGGTATGAGATGAGGTATGGCCGTATCACAGCTTCAAAGGCACATGAAGTGAGCGTATGTCATACACTTGATGGTTCATTGGTTGCTACTATAATGGGCGCAAAAATACCAGATACTATTGCAATGAAAAGAGGTAGAAGTTTCGAGCTATCTGTTCGGAAGACAGTTAGTACAACATTGAACAAAAAAATCAGAACATGTGGACTTTATGTATGCCAAGACAATCCCATGCTTGCAGCATCTCCTGATGGTTTATTGAAAGATGCTATTGTTGAAATAAAATGCCCTACCAAACCAAAAGCTAAGAACAATTATTTAAAAAATGGAATTATTTCAGAGAAATGTAAGGCACAGGTTCAATTACAGATGCATGCAACTGGTATGAAAAAATGTTATTTTTGTGTTGCTGATAGCAACTTTGAAGAAACAAAAAATGTAGATATTATTCTAGTGAAGTACGAAGATGATTATGTCAACAACTTAATAAAAAACTTGTATATTTTTTGGAAAAAAAATAGGTATATATCCTATTTTGTATCGTAGCACTAGTCTGTGATTACCAAATAAAAAACTATGCAGTGCATATTTCTTGTTTTATTATTATTTTATTCATGGTTTTACATCATTTATTTCTTTATTTATAGTAATAGTAGTAGAAGTATTTATTCAGCCAAGTACAAAACACAAAGTTCAAATGGTAAGTATGTCACAAAAGAGGAGATTACATGATAATAATTAAGTATAAAGTATCATAACATGCAAAAACCCATTATTTAATAAGAGAATCTTGCAAATTTATTAGAGCACATGCAATTATAATGACATGATCAAGTACACGACGTATGTTAGTATTTATCACTGAATGTTGCTTTAAAATATGAAATTCTCTCAAACGCCTTATTACCCTTTCAATATGAATCCGCAAACTAGCTATTATCTTAGTTTGTCGAACTTCAGTTTTTGACAACTTTGCACCAGCATTTACACTGGGTGGCCTTAATAGTTTTAGTCCCTTTTCATGAAGTATTTGTTCAAGTGTTTGAAGCCTCTGTCAGCTAAGCAACAGGATCCTTGGGGTAATCCATCTAGAAAGTTACAATTTTCTACTATTGTGGCATCGCTGGTTCTGCCTCCAAACCCATGCGAAACATAATTAACTAAACCATTAGGTGTGCAGGATACTAAATACTTCACAGTATTCCCCTTTTTGTACTCTGACCACGTCAATGACTGATGAAGAGCCTTTGATGGTTTTTGTATATCAATCTCTAAACAATCTATGATGCAACTGACATTATGATAGTTATGTCTAAATGAAATAGGAAGATTTTTTTTACCAATTTTTTATCTATTTTTACAATGAATGGTCTTAAAACACTAGCTATTATTGGTATATTTTGTAGAAACAATTTACTAGCATAAGATAATGATATTCCAAAATTATCCTCCAGTTCAGAAAATGTACTGTTCATTCTAATCTTTTTCAAGCATAGCAAAATGTGTTCTACTTTTATGCTTGTGTGTTTATGTAACAATTTGATTAAGAAATAACATTCTTTTGGAATACCAACATGCATCATTGGTTTTTTAGAGATTGAACGCATAGTAATTTTGAGGCACTCTAATTTTTCAATATTCTCATTGGCATTACTATCAGAGTCGGTAAGCCCTGATGATGATGATGCTGATTTAGTTACAAAAGGTGATAAATGACGACCACTTTCAATACAGGAAATATCACTATCTGACTTTTCATCTTCAAGAAAAACATTTCCCTTGACTGCTTTGACAATTTCAGACTGTGATGGTCGAAGACTGCATGGTTTAATCTTAAAAGGCGAAGTGGAACGAGATGTTGTAGAAACTTTCATTGGTGAGGTAGAAATACTTGTAGTCTGGCATCTTGTTTGCACAGATTTGCTCCTATGATGCACATTCTCTTTTATTGTTACTTGCACAGATTTTTCTGCAGTTATGATAGAGTTGGTAATAGTTTCTCTGTCTTGAGTTCTTGATAAACCTGAAAGAACAAAGACTCAAAATTAATGTCTTAATTTCAATGTAAATGATTACGTTAAGGCACTATGAAAAGATGTCTACTACTTCTTCCATTATCACTGAAGAAAAAGTGCAGTGCTGGATTAGGGGTAGTGAATCATAACATCAACAGCTTGAGAGAAAATTACCCATTACCTGAAGTACAAGTTGAGCATTCTTGATCACCTAGCAAGTAAAATGTCCCACTAAAATGACCTATCGCTTTGAATATATCAATTTTAAACCATAAATATTATTCTGTGAAAATCTCAATGTGCTACAAATATGTCTTTATGATTTTTTTTGAAAAATACCCTCAATACCCCTAGGGACAACAGTTACTCACCTTATTCAGTTCTGCCCTTTTTATTCAGAAATAATGGAAGAAGTAGTAGACAAGTTTTTATAAGGCCTCAAATAGGTTACAAAAATGTCTATCAGCTCTTAGACTATAATTTATGATAGGACACATGTAATAGATTACATACCTTGAGGTTCAATAATGTCTAGTATCAAACTCTCATCTTTTTGTAAGCTTTCAGCTTGGGCTTCAGTAGCATTTTGACTTTGCAAACATGTGTTGACCAAATCCATTCTTTTCCTCTTGACATATGCTCCTCGAGAAAGTCCAGCATCAGACAGTGGTCTTTTACGATCTTCAGAAAGGCGCTCGATTTTGAGGTTATGTTACAAATTTATTTGCTTTAAATTGTTTATGCTTTCTATTTTTATCATCTATTTTATCAGCCTGAAATTTCACACAATTTATTAAGAAATACTACAGTGGAAATGTAGAAATACCCCAGCCTTTCTGAAGGAGAGAAAATGCTATAAAAATCAAGGAGGCCATAAAGGCGTCCTACAATTGTAAATACGGACCATATGGTATATATATATAAGGTAGGTACAACAAGGGTACTACTCCATAAACTGGTGATTGAAGCCCAAAACCCAATATCCCAAAAGACGTCAACAGCAAATGACCGATAGTCAGTTGACTGTCAATCAATGTCAAAAGTAGGAGGACGCTGATTGCCTATGGGCGGACCCTAGAAAACCCACTTTACTAGAGCCCAAAGATACTTTATGAGGAAATTTCTGAGATAGTCATTGATAAAATATTATAACATTAGTGTCCAAAAGATTTCAACACAATACTGACTCGCTCATTAAGAAATATATAATATGTGGGGAACCATACTTTCAGGACTAGGCAGTTTCGAGCTCAATAGACCAATAAATTATGAAATTTGCCAAAAGAAAATCATTGAAAAGGATTGATTTAGCAATCAGTACTCTATCATTAATAAAGATACATTAAATTACTGGTTAGTGATGAAAATAGTAGAAAAAACAGTTATGGGATTTTGGCATGTTACGATGTTTCTCAATTCCATGCAACAGTTGTATTCAATACATTGGCCAGACTTCTAAAACTCTGAAAAGACTCATTTGACGTCTCATAAAAGCTATACATCACGTAACATGAACAGATGTGGCCTTGCACACCATGTTATTGACACATGCCTTAAAGTCAACTGGAATGATGCCAGTGTATGGCACTTTTGGAATCAGAAGTATTCAAAACCGATTCACCTTGCTCATGTATCGTGATTTTGAAATTGCATTTCAAATAAGAAGAACGGAAAACTGAAGCAATAAAAAAATCAGTGAATTGGATAACAGACAATGTTTTTAAAAACAATCGACAAAAGTAAGGCTGCACCTTAAGCATCATACCGGGTGTGCCAGATAATTACACAAAAGAAGAAACCTGATGAAGACGAGGAAATGATAAAATAGGTGTTTTTAGAAGCTGCAGATCCATTATTTGCCAACTTTAGAAACAAAGACGAGATAGTGTCTGCTATACAATCTATGCAACTTTCTGCTAATACAGTGATGCGACGAGTAGAAGTAATGAACACTGCAGCTGGATGAAACCACAGATGTCGTTGGCCCCTCTCAGATGGCCGTGTTTGTCAGGATGGTTTTTAGTGATGTTACGATTAAAGGAGATCTTTGAAGTTTATTCCACTAAAAGGACAGTTTACTGGGCACGACTTGTTTTCTTCTTTTAAAAATATTATTTCTTCTGAGAAAATTCCAATATCGAAAATGGTAGGCTTGACAACCGATAGCGCTCCATAAGGGTTTCGTGGGGTTATGTCGTAAAGATGAAAGTTTTCCGCAATTTCTCTGTTACCACTGGAATCAGAATTATTCAAAACCGATTCACCGTGCTCATGTATCGTAATTTTGAAATTGCGTTTCAAATAAAGTTAGGAAAAAATACTTTCGCGTATCTCTGGAACTACTGGAAATGCTCTGCAAACAGCGGCAGCACTGCGGTGAGCGATCTGTTCGAGAACGATCTCGATTACTTTGAACGGAAAAAATACGCAAGGCGCGGCGACAGTGCGCTCAGTTTAAAACTGAATGGCACAAAGTCCAGAGGTTGGGTTAGAGTTGACCTGCAATGAAAAACAAGAAGATGAAGACATATCATTTCCATTCGGAATGGTAAGAACAATATTTCTTTACAGAAGTTAAAGGTAAACATGTATGTTTGTTATGTAATACATCTGTTTCCGTTGGAGAGGCACTATAAAACTATAAATTCAAATTTTGAAAAATCATTCGCATTACGTTCTGCAACCAGAACGGAAAACTGAAGCAATAAAAAAATCAGTGAATTGGATAACAGACAATATTTTAAAAACAATCGACAAAAGTAAGGCTGCACCTTAAGCATAATACCGGGTGTGCCAGATAATTACACAAAAGAACCTGATGAAGACGAGGAAATGATAAAATAGTTGTTTTTAGAAGCTGCAGATCCATTATTTGCCAACTTTAGAAACAAAGACAAAATAGTGTCTGCTATACAATCTATGCAACTTTCTGCTAATACAGTGATGCGACGAGTAGAAGTAATGAACACTGCAGCTGGATGAAACCACAGATGTCGTTGACCCCTCTCAGATGGCCGTGTTTGTCAGGATGGTTTTTAGTGATGTTACGATTAAAGAAGATCTTTGAAGTTTATTCCACTAAAAGGACAGACTACTGGGCACGACTTGTTTTCTTCTTTTAAAAATATTATTTCTTCTGAGAAAATTCCAATATCGAAAATGGTAGGCTTGACAACCGATAGCGCTCCATAAGGGTCTCGTCGGGTTATGTCGTAAAGATGAAAGTTTTCCGCAATTTCTCTGTTACCACTGCATTATCCATCAGCAAGCGTTATGTGGACATTTTCTAAAACTACATAACGTTATGAACTTGGTAGTAAAAATTGTGTACAAGATTAGAGCTCAAGCGTTACAACGACGATTATTCAAATCCTTGGCCGATGAAATTGTCTGTCAATACGGGAACTATTTCTTCACTCTGAAGTCCGATTGTTAAGTAGGGAACGGGTGCTGAAACGTTTTAGTGATATAATATCTGCCATAGTTCGGTTTTTCAAACAATGCGATGAACCGATTCCGGAACTGGAAAATTCAATCTGGCTTAGAGATTCTGGTTTTCCTGTGGATATTACAGAAAAATTAAATGAACTTGATTTAGCTTCAGGGGAGAGACAGAGCAGAAATGTTTATCAAATAGCTTGAGTTTTGGGCACAAAACTTAATCGATGGCGATACCAGGCATTTTCCTGTTCTTTCAGAGATGTCCATTAGAACCATATTACTGTAAATATTATGTAGAAATAGTCTCTAACTTGAAGGATAATTCAAAAATCGTTTCAAGGATTTGAACGAAATTGCTATAGTGGCGCAATTTGTTGTTTCAGCCTTCATGATATCCAACAGTTTGCAACTTCTGTTACGCAGAATTTTAGCGGAGACATCGCTGCGACAGAAATGGAAGTAATTGCGTTTAAAAATGATTCAGCATTAAAATCATTAGTCTCAAATACAAAATGTATCTGGCCCTCCGTGAGTAAAGAACAAAAATCAGTTTTATGTCGTGTTGCCTTGAAAGTGAAAGCGTTATTTAGTTCAACCTATTTGTGTGAATCTTCTTTCTCAAATATGAAGTTTATTAAAAACAAACACCATAATAGACTTACAGATGAACATTTGGATAATTGTATTCGAATGGCGGTATCAAATTATACTCCAAGCATTAGAAACAATGTCAGTGACTCTGAGAATCAGGTTTCTCATTGAACACGCATTTTTTATCTGGACATGTTTTGTTTAAAATAGTGCGCTGCTTTTTTATTTTTAGTTGCCTTTATTGAATCGTATGTGACATGCCATTGTAGCTGAAGAAACATTTTGTTCATTTTTCAAACACCTACGATTGGTAGGAATGGATGTAGTTGCGAAGTATGTATTAGTTATTAGTTTAAGTTTGTTAGTATGTATTAGTATTTGTGAAATAAACACATGTATGTCGCATACATCTGTGTATAATTTCATTTAAGTTGGCTTACATTGCTTACGACTAGGTAGCTTACTGTTTATTCCAAAATTACCAGAGTAGATCAACACACTGAAAAGGTTGGCGACCACTGCATAGACATTCTTTCGATGCCCTACCGGTAGTCAGACAATATGCTATGGCGCAGCAGTAATACCAGAACACTTACCAGGACCGGCGCGTCGCAAGCAGACGCAGCCGTTAGGTGCGTGATCCGTCTGCTGCGAACATTTTAACTTACCGGAAAATCTATGATGTGCGAAATATGTCTAATAGGTGCGTAGAATTACCAAGGTTAAGAGCGTATAAATATACTAACATCAAAAAATTTATATATACCTTCCCCAGCCCCCTCAACTCCTACCCCGAAATTTTTTTCTTATGAAAATATTTTCAAAAATAATTAGGACCCCTTGAAATGTCAAAAAAAGAAATTTGAGCGACTTTTATTTTCTTTCTCGTTTTCGACTTTGATATTTTCTCCGTCGCCACCGGACAGATTTTTAAAAACCAGGAAGCTTTTTCGTCCTTGTCGTGTCAGTAAAAATTTCAACAACATCTGATATGAGCGTCTCAAGTTATAGGTGGTTATAGGATTAGCGGATAGACAGACTGACAGACCGACGGACCGAAAGACCGTCAGGCAGACCGACGGAATCGAGTTACATGATTTTTCGTAATTTACAAGTTATCTGGCATCCAAAAAATATATTTTGTTTTCGAAAATTTCAGTAGACATGGGAAGTAAAAAGTAATAAAGTTTCTCGTTAGGCAAATGCAAAATTATCATCTAAAAAAAATTAACCAATTAGGTAGCCTCTATGATTTCCATTGCCAGGGTTTAACCTGAATCACCTGACAACTATTTGTTTCATCATTCTTAGAGCCATTCAGCTCAAAAGTTTTAATCACATTTTATGACAATAATTCATTGTCCCTAACGATGCCAGTATTACACAAGAAATTGTCGAAATTAACTGCACTTCTTGTTAAACTTTCAACGGAACCTCCTGACATGACTATTCTCTTTAATTTCAAACTACAGGCAACTGCAAAGTAAGGTGGAACAACTTGTTAGACTAAAATGATAAGTTCCGAAGTTTTATAATTGTTTCCGTTTCATATTCTGTAATGAAAACTGGAATAAATGTAGTAAAGCCTTGCAGTGCATGACCTCTACTCGGAAAGCGGTTAAGGCGTAGTTGCCAGGGGTTTGACGTAGCATTTGAGCCTAGAAAAGATTTGAATTTCCGACTACTGACAATCCTCTTTTCTTACTATTCTAAATCGTGTGATCTCTTCTTAGGATCCCAAAAGCTAATTAGGATAGTTTACAGGCTTTAAGAATAACTGCATAAACTCATATATCGTATTTTCCATTGGTGGAGTATTAAAAAAACATCGGAC